GAGCCAGCCGGCCGTCCGCCTCGACCATCTCGGAACACGGTCGGTGCAGGCCAGGTCGAGGGGCCGAGAGCGCAGGCCGACCGTCCGCCTCCCTCGACCAGCTGGGCGCACGGTCGGCGCAGGCCGTCGAGTTAGCCGGCCGTCTCCCTCGACCAGTTCGGCGCACGGTCGGTGCGGCCAGGTCGAGGGGCCGAGAGCGCAGGCCGACCGTCCGTCCCCCTCGACCATCTCGGAGCACGGTCGGTGCAGGCCAGGTCGAGGGGCCGAGAGCGCAGGCCGACCGTCCGCCTCCCTCGACCAGCTGGGCGCACGGTCGGTGCAGGCCGTCGAGTTAGCCGGCCGTCCCCCTCGACCATCTCGGAACACGGTCGGTGCAGGCCAGGTCGAGGGGCCGAGAGCGCAGGCCGACCGTCCGCCTCCCTCGACCAGCTGCGAACACGGTCGGTGCAGGCCAGGTCGAGGGGCCGAGAGCGCAGGCCGACCGTCCGCCTCCCCTCGACCAGCTGCGAACACGGTCGGTGCAGGCCAGGTCGAGGGGCCGAGAGCGCAGGCCGACCGTCCGTCTCCCTCGACCAGCTCTACACAAGGTCGGTGCAGGCCGTCGAGCCAGCCGGCCGTCCGCCTCGACCATCTCGGAACACGGTCGGTGCAGGCCAGGTCGAGGGGCCGAGAGCGCAGGCCGACCGTCCGCCTCCCTCGACCAGCTGGGCGCACGGTCGGTGCAGGCCGTCGAGTTAGCCGGCCGTCCCCCTCGACCATCTCGGAACACGGTCGGTGCAGGCCAGGTCGAGGGGCCGAGAGCGCAGGCCGACCGTCCGCCTCCCTCGACCAGCTGCGAACACGGTCGGTGCAGGCCAGGTCGAGGGGCCGAGAGCGCAGGCCGACCGTCCGTCTCCCTCGACCAGCTCTACACAAGGTCGGTGCAGGCCGTCGAGCCAGTCGGCCGTCCGCCTCGACCATCTCGGAACACGGTCGGTGCAGGCCAGGTCGAGGGGCCGAGAGCGCAGGGCCGACCGTCCGCTCCCTCGACCAGCTGCGAACACGGTCGGCGCAGGCCGTCGAGTTAGCCGGCCGTCTCCCTCGACCAGTTCGGCGCACGGTCGGTGCAGGCCAGGTCGAGGGGCCGAGAGCGCAGGCCGACCGTCCGTCTCCCTCGACCAGCTCTACACAAGGTCGGTGCAGGCCGTCGAGCCAGTCGGCCGTCCGCCTCGACCATCTCGGAACACGGTCGGTGCAGGCCAGGTCGAGGGGCCGAGAGCGCAGGCCGACCGTCCGCCTCCCTCGACCAGCTGCGAACACGGTCGGCGCAGGCCGTCGAGTTAGCCGGCCGTCTCCCTCGACCAGCTCGGCGCACCGTCGGTGCGGCCAGGTCGAGGGGCCGAGAGCGCAGGCCGACCGTCCGCCTCCCTCGACCAGCTGGGCGCACGGTCGGCGCAGGCCGTCGAGCCAGCCGGCCGTCCGCCTCGACCATCTCGGAACACGGTCGGTGCAGGCCAGGTCGAGGGGCCGAGAGCGCAGGCCGACCGTCCGCCTCCCTCGACCAGCTGCGAACACGGTCGGCGCAGGCCGTCGAGTTAGCCGGACGTCTCCCTCGACCAGCTCGGCGCACGGTCGGTGCAGGCCAGGTCGAGGGGCCGAGAGCGCAGGCCGACCGTCCGCCTCCCTCGACCAGCTGCGAACACGGTCGGCGCAGGCCGTCGAGTTAGCCGGCCGTCTCCCTCGACCAGCTCGGCGCACCGTCGGTGCGGCCAGGTCGAGGGACCGAGAGCGCAGGCCGACCGTCCGTCTCCCTC